TTTGTAGAACTGGGGATTGAACTCAGGCCCTTGCACTTGCCAGGGAAGTGCTTATTCCACTGAGCCATCTCCCCGGCCCCGGCCCATCTATTTTCATTCTCATTTGTTCATAGTGTTAAACTTTTGACATGAAGAGATGGCTGAAATAAAAGGCTTATTAAATTTTACAAATGTTAGCCGAAATTAAAGGACAAATTCTCTATGCTACCAGTAGTATGGCCAAACAGAAGCTGGGAAAATGTCCCCTGGATATAAGCCAGAGGATTTATTATATAATGAAAAATTGGGAAAAAGAAACATTAATCGTATATAGTGAGCCTACAGTGGACATAGACAAGAACAGCAGTACAGCACTGAGCATACAGAGTCCATAAAGAGAAATAGGTGCTGCCGTTCGTATGGTTGGTTGGTTCTAAAAGCAGAGCGTGGTGTGGCTTTGTTGACCTATCTTCAGCACACTGCAAAGGAATGTGGTCAGTTTTTTCTCCTTCTTTGTTGGTTTTAGGTTGAAGATTACAGTCAAATCATCCTCTTACTTTCTTCCCTTATCCATCCACTGGCCTGTAATTTAATTTAGGATCTCTTACAATTTTTTTCTGTATCAATAATCAATCCTACAATCTCCTATGTTAAAATGGCAGTTCACCTTTAATGTGTTTTACCTTAATTTCTGCTATTTCCAATAAAAATTTAAACATTCACTGCTAAATTGGATTCTTTCAACACTCTGTTAAACATCTTAAGTAATAATGGATCAAAGAAAGACAGGATCATATTCATTTGGTATCTTGCATTAATATATTTTAGCAGTAATAAACAACCTTGATTACTTTTAAAAATTCATTAATTTTTATCCTGTAGGTGAAGAATTTTCACATGAAATGGTTCATAAAGATACTGGTCAACATGGAACTGCTGAAAATCAAGATAAGCATGAGTATCAGAATTTACGAGATAACATACAAAATAGGTTAGTTTTAAACAAAATGTTCTGCATCTTGTCTTTTAACATTTGAATAGACTGACTTTGAAATCAGAGCTATAGAAAAAAAAAATATATATATATATATCCTACATTTCTACATGTGAAACAAAACCAAATAGTTTTGGTCTTAGGGAAAATATTTAGGTGGCAGCTTTCTTATTCAGAATGCAAGTAATTATATTCTGAGAAAAGAATTCAATCAGATAATCCCTCTTTTCATTGTTTCATGAATTTTTAAGTTAATGGTATGGAGTTCCATGCACTTAGGAAATTTCAGTGATGATCTTAGAACTTCCAAACAGATTCCAGAGAGCAGTTCTAACACTACTACTGTTTTTTCTAACAGGAGGTAATATAGCATTACTTCAATTTTGTGCATTTTTTTTTTCCTTTGGAAAGAAAATTCAGAAAAATTAGACAATTTTATGAGAGGTACAAAATATAAAGTGAGCCAGGAAAGAGTAAATTGAGCTATAGTAAGTCTGTGTACCATTAAAAATAGAAGTCTCAAAACTCATTCAAGATTCATTCTAGGAATACTCTGCGTAAAACAAAGAAGTTTGAGCCATCTGTACTTATTCAAAAGCCTTTTCAATTTCTGTGAAGTTGAAAAAAGTAGATGACTTGGGTCCATCAGGCCACAGCTTGCATTAGAAGAGTCCTGAAAGTTTCTTTGCCATTAGTGCAAATGATGTCCTTAGACTTTCAAATGGAGAACTCGATGGACACCAAAGGTTTCCTGAATTGACAGTATTTTTAGATCTTCTTTCACTCTTTCATTCACCTCAAAAAGTATGTTTCAGTAACATTAAATAAATTTTGCTTTACTTTAAATTGAATAATGTTCCATTGCCCGTAGATTTCTAAAAAATTGTTTCCTCAGGTTCATCTGTACTGGCAGCCTCATTTTCTCATTATTTTTGTCAAATCATGCTTAATATATATACACTAAAATATTTCAAAGGAGTATGAAGTATTTGTATAATATTTTGATTTTGCAGAATTGTAGGCTTCTTGGATAACTGGCCTTTGTTGGAACAGTGGTTTTCAGAACCAGAAAATATTTTGATAAAAATCAATGCTGAAATAGATAAAAAGCCTTTATGCCAAAAAGTAAAAGAAATCTTTACAACTGAGATAATGAAGAAAAATAATAAAGGTAATTACAGTTGTTAAGCTTGAAAATAGTTTAAGCTTATTCTGCTTATTTTCCTACTGACTTTAGAAGGGAACTAAAGTGGGATTATGAAGTTCTCTTTCACAGTTGGGTTAGACTATTATAAGTCAATTTTGCCTTTTACTCTGGCTTTCTGCATGTTTCCGAATAGCATAGCTTTTTTCTCTCCCTTGTAATTTTATAAAAAGCAATTATCTCACTGAAAGCACAGAAGAGAACTTTTTTTCTATTTATAAAATCAACCATAAAATTTTTAGAAAGTAACTAAAAATATAGAATAAAATAGGAATCATGGGGGCCTGGCCTTAGCTCATTTGTTTAAGTGGCTGCTTCCACAAAGCTGTCAGCCTCAGGTTGCTGTAGTTCAATCCCTACAACTCTCCAGCCAGCCAAACCAGCCAAACCAGCCATGAGGGCATTCGGAGCAAAAAAAACAAAAAAACAAAAAAACAAAAAAAAAAAAACCTTATTCTGGTTAACAACCTAAGTTTGCAGACCAAAATTAGAGGAAAAGGAGGGCTACAAGGAAAGCCAACATTTTGGCCCTACCCTTCTAAGGTCAATTAAGACTCAGGACATATGAGAACTTGTACTGTAACCTCATGTACCTTGGTAGTGTCCCAAATTTTCTGATCAAGATGATAATGGGGCCAAAGAGGAAAGTGATCGATGACGTAGAGTGTGCCTAAGGAGAGTCACATGGGGAGAAGACACTCTCTCAGGCTTTCACAGAGAGCACATAGGCCAAGCATTGGCCGTGACTCATGCACATGGCTGACACTGACAAAGGTTCTACAATCTGAGGTACAGGATCTCAAGATAAATCCTGAGGGCATTTCACTGACTTTGTCAGACCAAAAAGCTACAACTCTTGTTGCACAGGTCCTGCTTTACCTTGGTCTTAACCATCCAATAGAAAAGTATGAAGATGAAATATAGGAAGTAAAGCCATGCTGTTATGTTGAGCTGTGGGGGACTCAGGTCAATAATTTCTGACATTGCCAGTTAAACAGAAAACCCAATGCTATTATGGGCTTCTGTACTCTTTTAGAATATTTTGCTGAGTTTACACACCTATAATATTCAACAACGGAACTTAAAAAAAATTGGGGTATAACTATGAATGTCCATTTTGTATCTGTGTATTCAAAGTGGTTGGGATAGATATATAGTTGCATTCTCTTAATGAATAGAATGATTTTTTCTAATGGTGTTTGTAAATAGAATCTCAAGTCTGCATCTTGTACAGCAATTAACCACTGAGAAGAATGTATGCAGTGTATTATTTGTTGAAACTGTACTTTCGATTTGATTTGAAACTGTCTCATTGCTATATGTTTATCAATAAAACTTTGAAAAGAAAAAAAAATAAAATAGGAATCATGGCACTATTTTCATTTAAAAAAGGAAATAGAATTTAAAAGTGAGAAGGCTAAATGCATTTTATGCACTGAACATATACCATTATAGTCTCTATTAAAACCATTATAGTAAACTAAGGATGTTATAAAGAAGGATAAATATTTTAATTTGTTAACTTCAACATCATAAGAAAATAGTATATATATTCTCCCTTCAAGATGAACAACTAGAAAATTTAATTTTCCCCAAATCTATATATTTTTCACAAATTTAGTGATTATTATTTCTTTTCTTATTAACCTACTTCTGTGCCATATCTGTTCCATATTAAACCATCTGTGCTTGCTTCGTACTTAATTCGAACAAAATAATTCCTTATTAGCAGTTCATAATACTGAAACTTAGTGAAGAAGTAATATTAAACTCAATCTAATGCCAGACTCGCATTGCGATTTTACCTTTGACAAATAATTTGAGATAAAAATCTGTTTTATCAGTTGTCCCTACTTATATTGGTGACTGCAGTTTCTGGTCTAATAAAAAATGTGCTCAAAGTTAATATGATCAGAGGAATTCTAACATTTCCTTATTAGATGCTGTATCCCATCACTAGATTTATGACCTAAATATCATTATATATCTGTGAATTGGCAACAAATGACAAGAAGCCCCATCAGCACAGGACCCAAAAGCTCACACTCAGAAGACAAGCCCCAACAGCCAAATGTCTGCTGGAGAAAAACACCAGCATGAGGCTTTCAGGCAAAACAACACCAGCTCATGCAGAGTTCTAAGAGGTTTAGTGGGGAGTGAGAATGTTCTTGAGAGGGAGGAGGGACACTGTCACAGTTTTCTTTTGGATTGGAGGCAAAAACAAAGTGATTCCTAGCTTTAAAGGTTTGAAACTCCAGGGAAAATCAGTTTGCTTTTGCCAGCTGTCAGACTCAACTTCAACATTTTCTGAAAGATTTTCCATATAATGCCTACATGAGCAGAATTAGCTGTCGCTATTTTGGGTTTCCATTCCAATTAGTTAACTAATAATAACTTTTTAATAACAAATATTTTACTAGTAAGAAATATTTACCTAGCCAGTTCTTACATTAAAAATCAAGTAAAAGGATGTACTACATGCATATTTTTTGACATGAAGAAGTCACCACAATATACTGATCAGAAGGAAAAAAGCAGGTTACATAGAAAATAGTCTCATTTTTTAAATGTATTTGGTAGAGGGTCTCATTACACAGCTCAGCCTCTTAGTGATCACCCTGTTTTTAACTTCCCCAGTGCTGGGATTACAGTCATGCACCACCACACCCTGTCTCTGTGGTCAGCTCAGCACACCTAGGGGCAGAGCCAGCATGGTATGTGGTGCCAGGGATCGAATGTGGTCCCTGCACTTGCCTAAGCAGGCACTTAGTCCACTGAGCTATCTCGCCAGCCCTCACTTTTGTTTGCAAAAGCAATATACACATACATGTTATGTATATGCTAAATTTATATGCACAGAGCAGAAATAATGTGGTCTGTATGACATTTGATGATGAGAAAAGAGAAGCATGGCATCTTCCTAAGTAATTCTCCTTTCTGCATAATTGTTTAAATTTGTGGATTTAAAATAGATAATGTTCCACTTTTTTACTAAGGAAAAAAAAAAACCATTTCCACTTTGAAAGAAAATCTAATAGAAGAAGGTTTCTTTGATTGCTGAATTGAAATGGATGACCTAAGTGCCTAGAGAGCTGAAGACAGTGGCCAATCAGTGTGGGCATCTATGATTGGAGGTTCGCAGAGGCTGGGGCAATCAGGGAGGGATGCCAGAGAGGACATATGACTAATGACAGGAACCTAGAGAATCACTAACATCAGTGCATCAGGACTGACTGTCCCTCTGCCCTGGACACTTCCCTCACTCACCCACAAAGCTCACATCTTGACTTTCTCCATGTCTTTGCTCAAATGTTACCATGAACCATCCAGCTTAGTGTTCTACATAAAATTTATAACACTGTCCTATAATACTCTTGATCCCTTCTACTCTGCTCTGTTCTGCTCTGCTCTGCTCTACTCTACTCTACTCTACTCTACCCTACCCTACCCTACCCTACCCTACCCTACCCTACCCTACTCTACTCTACTCTATTCTATTCCTGTTCTCCATAGTAAGTATCACATTCTAATCTTTTGTATAAATTAAGTTATTCATTATATGCATAGCCTGCTTCCTGCTACTACAATGCAAGTCTCACAATGGCACTGACTTTTCTGTTTTGATTTGCTGTTATATCTCCAGCATCCAGATGGTGCCCAAAATTGTATTAATACTAATAGCAACTTTACTTTATTGTGAATAGCGTTCCTTTGCTTCCAGGCATAGCCTAGGTACAGTAAATAATTCTTGTAAGGCTGAGAGTCATGGCACCAACTCTTGTCCCGGTTGATGGGAAGGCTGTGAGGAAAGGATCACCTGAGCCCAGGACTTCAACAGCAGTCTGGACAGCACAGTGAGATCCTGTCCCTTAGCAAAAAAATTGTTGCATTATGTTAATGACTCAGTTACTAAGGCACTCAAGTAAGTGCTGCTCACTTCTTTCCCCTTCCATTTCCTCCCTATCTCATCTCTTCTATCATATTGTTTTTTTAATTTTCACATTATGTTCGTCTTTTAACAAACTGTGCTTTTCTAATAAATTATTTTAAATAATATTATGTATTCTCATTGATTTTCTAGCTAGTTCTGCATTATTAGCTACTTTTACACTTGTATCCCACTCACTGACCTTTCTGTCTGTCTGTCTGTCTGTCTGTCTGTCTGTCTGTCTGTCTCTCTCTCTCTCTCTCTCATACACACACACACACACACACACACACACCATCACTCCCACTCTGCTACTCCTGTCTCCCCCCACTGAGCTCAATACCTCTACTCCCATCACTACAACTCCCGTCAAGAGAAACCATATGACCATGCAGATAAGCCTTAAAATCTTATCTTCACAGACTGGATGATAAAAGGAGAATGTTAAAACATGAATTAACCTTAACTAAGTAAACATGATTTTACATTAATTCTAATTTCTCTTAGTTCAAATGACAGAGTAGATGTCCGGAATCCTTACTCAAGGCTCTTTCTTATCTTTTGGAAGTTGAAAAGAAATTAGAAGAAAAGGAAGCTGAGAAAAAGACAGCAGCTTCCCTGGCTGAGTCTCAATCTGTACCAACTCCTCTTCCTGAGCCAGAAAAAGAGAAGGAAGTTCATGCTCAGCACAAGCAGGAGCCTTCAAAAACTCCTCCTGCCAAAGGAAAACCACAATCAGGTGATTGACAGAGTGATTTATAATCCTGTTTTTCTGTTTCTTATTTTCACTCAGAAAAGAAATATAAATTATAGAGCTGGTCCATTTATCTAGATTCAGATTGGCAACTTCAATCATGCAAAACCGAGATCCATACTCAAATGAGGATGGAAAAGTCTTTTTTAAAAAAAGCATTGGAAAAAACGAACCTAGGACCACTATCACTGAGCTACAGCCCAAATCCTTTATACTTTTTTTATTTTGAGAACAAGTCATGCGAAATTGTCCAGGTTGACCTCAAATTTGCAATCCTCCTGTCTCAGAGTGGGAAAAGCATTCTTACTGGTTTGGAAAGTAGTTGTTGAAAAGTCCAGCTCTTGTCTTTGTGTAGTCACAGGGCTCTGAATGTTTAGCTATGCTCCATTTCTGGTTTCTAATGAATGCTGTTGATTAGCACCCTTACTTTAGAGTCAAGTGGCTATGCCCATCCTAATTTTATTAGTGTGTTCTTACCCTTTCCATATATGCTACTGTGTTCACACAGCTATCCTTTGGACTTTCCCTAGATGACTTCTTACTCTACGACTTTCCTTTTTCCATACATCGTCTTATTTTTAGCAGATGAATCATATGACACCACGTTCCCTGTTAAACACTGAGGAACCCAAATCAAAAAAATACACATTCTTTCTCTATTACTTCATTAGGCATTAAAAAAAAAATCTAGAGAAGATAGTTTTCATGGTAGGTAAGCTAGCTCCCAAATTATCTAGTACAACCAGAGTATTAATGTATTTGAGCTATTCTGTCATCAATCTATAATATTTCTGATTATAGTTCAGAAATATAGTTCATATTTCTATATGAAACTACAGTTCATAGTTCAAGTTTCTGCAGGTTGTTTGTTATTTTAAAATTGTACTCTTGAATATTGTGCATTGGAAGAATAATAAATCTATTGCTGCTTCAAAAGAGTGGTTGTACTTGTCTCTTTCTTCCGTGTAGGGCAAAGTTAGTGTCTGATCTTTAAAATAAATGTGTAAAGAAAGATTAGTCTCCAGAGGCCTAATCACTGCCATCGACAGCAAAGCACTGCTGGAGGTGCTCTCCATGCCCAGCAGCAGGGATTAGACAGCAGGCTTGAGTGCCACCCTTGCAGTGCATAGAAACTTGATAAAGCAATTTAGGGAAGGAAAATGCAAATCGTTTTATTTTTCTTTTTTAAAACATTGCTGTATAACTTTGAAATATTTTCAAAAGAGAATTTTTGAAACTGAAAGCCTCAGGCTTCGGAGCATGCCCAACTGAAACATGCAATTACAATCATCTTTTTGATGAGATTAAAAAAAAAAAAAGCCTATTTCCTTCAACAACAGCAGAATTATTGTGCAAATAGGATGGAGAAAGAGGCATGGTGCACTGTGCGCTACCAAGCCTTTTGTCCAAATATAATCCCATATTTTATAAAGCTCTACATTTTGTTTCTTTTCAACTGCACTTGGGGTTCAGTTTGAAATTTTCACAGTTGTGCTCCCTTGAAAGGTTTATCATAAAGTCCACCACCAAAGGTCAGTGGAGGTGGGGACACACAATCAAATTACTTTTTCAAAAAATATTTTATTAGTACACACTGGCAGTATGGAATGACTATGTCTACTGTGGGGAGATGATGGTACATGCACAGAGCACATCTTGATTCCTTCTGTTTCCCCCTGCCCCGCCCCTCACTGCTCCTTTCCTCCCTCGGTCCCTATTTCATTTGCAAAAGATCAAAATTTTTTACTCTGTTGTAGAAATCCATTTCCCTTCCCTGCCTTCCCCTCCCTCCTCCTCTTGATGCCCTTCCAAGTTGAAAAAAAAAAATCTCACTATTCCTTGTTATCTCTCTTTTATTTTGTTCTTTATATTTTTGGTTTATCATATCAAAGAAACCATGTAGAATTTAATATCATGCATCCAATTTATTTCACTTAATATTATGACCTCAAGGTGCAATTCTTAATTAGTAGCAAAGTTCTCAGGTCTGGCCAAATAGCTCAGAGGATTAAAACTCCTGCAAGCAGGCTCAGGAACCAGGGATTGGAACCCCAGGCCTGCTGTGTTGGCCCCTCCCCTGAGACAGCAATTGAGACTGGGTGTGGTGGCCCACGCCTGTAATCCCAGCTCTTAGGAGGCTGTAAACAGGC